TAGGATGAAATCTTGGGTCTAATAGGACACAGGCTTCAGGCTTTCAGTGTTTTTTGTGGGATTTTTTTTTTTTTTTTTTTTTTTTTGAGACAGCAGGGTCTCACTCTGTCTCTCAGGGTAGACTGCATTGGCACATAGTCACAGCTCACTATAGCCTTGACCCTCTAAGCTCAAGTGATCCTCCCACCTCACCCTCTCAAGTAGATGGGACCACAGGTACATACCACCTCACCTAGATAATTAAAAAAAATTTTTTTTGTAGATATGTGATCTCACTATGTTGCCCAGGCAGGTTGTAAACTCCTGGTCTCAAGCAATCCTCCCGCCTCAGCTTCCCAAGGTGATGGAATTACAGGTATGAGCCACCGTGCCCAGCCAGTATTTTATTCTTGAGTTGAACTGAATTTCCATTCCATATAAGTGAGTTTTGACATAGGTAAATGTAAAAACAAAAGTATTACTTCAGTGATAATTCTTTTAAAAGGATACCTACTTTTGTGATTTTAGGAAGTCTGAATGTGTTCTTTTTTTTTTTTTTTTTTTTTAATAATACTTTGGTTTGTCAAGAGTACACAGCTATTCAAGCTAGCTTAAGTAGTGGAATTTATTAGAGGTGTACGAGGTGTGCAGCTTTGGCCAGCGTATGGGATGACATTGGGCTTGTGGGCTTGTACCACTGCTTAAAGATATAGGTGTAAATTTAATCCATTATATATGGCTTTTTACATAACATGCACACAAACCCAAAAGACTATTTTTAAAAAAATACATATACACACATGTACCTACACATACATATACACATATATGTAAATAAAATTGGTCTTAAAGAACAGAAAATGTAACATACCAGGCCATATGGACACTAGAATTGGAACTGGAAAGTCGGTACCTAAGGTTAGGGTTGACCTACTCAACTCTACTTCTCTCCATCTGTTACCAGTAGGTTTCTTCTTTTCTCACATGACCAAACATAGCTGCTCCAGCTAAACTCTAACCTTCTAGTGCAAATGTTATCTCATGAGACATGTATATAGCTAATTTTTTTTTTTTTTTTTAATAGAGAGACAGGGTCTAGCCATGTTGCCCAGCCTGGTCTTGATCTCCTGGGCTCGATCAGTCCTGCCTCAGCCTCCCACAGTGCTGGGATTACAGGCGTGAGCCACCATACCCAACTATATTTTTTAATATCTTAATTTAAATTCTTTAAAGAGACAGTGTAAATAGCTCAGTATGTATATAAGTGCTAACATCTTTGAGTACACTGAAATTAATATACTTGCTTTTCAGAAGAGGATGACCAAAGAAGAGACTAAGCAAAATAACAAATTTACCTACTGCAGTCTTTAAGATGAATACATTTATGTTTTAAAATGTTTACGTTTATGTTAAGTTTACATTTATGTTTTAAAACGTCCTCTTAATGGTCATAGAAGATAGAATGACTTCTTAGTTAGCTTTCCCAAAAGCTAGATAATTAGTTGGCAGCCTCTAATCCGTGCTCCACCTTGATATTCAGGGTGACTAGTGGCAGAGCAATTGTCAAACCATATGCAAACTGAGAATTCCTTACCCAGAGGCTGGCATGCAGGTCCAGACAGCCGTGGATAACCATGCTTACTCCTTATCCTGTGTTTACCTCTAGCACTTTTAATCAATGACTAGGTTTACAATACTGTACATAGAATTGGTTTTATTTCTGGGCTTTTTTTTTTTTTTTTCTTTTCCCAGTAATGTATCTTAACACCTAAATAAAGTTAGCCTTCCTCTCTTCCTCTCCATAAAATTGGGATGAAATTAGGTTACTTTATACCTAAGACTTGTAAGTAGGGTGGGTTTTCCCTTCTATTTAGTAAAGTGAGGCACAGATAAGAAAATAATCTTTTCTATGGTTTATGCTAGTGTTTTATGTTTTTCTCCTTTTCTGTTTTCTTCTCTCCTCCTCCCATTCTTCCCTAACTCTTCTTAAATGTAAAACATGTATTTCTATCAGTGTTAATTTCTTAGTAACTAGAGTCTTACATCTCCTAGTTTTTATTTATTAGTCATAAGAATACTTTTAAGCTAGTTTGGCTTTCTTGAAATGTAAATTTCAAAGTACAAGTTTTACCAGCATATTTACTATTACAAATTTTAGTCCTAAGTAGCTATAATTGTATATTGTTCAGGAGTGGCTAACTTGGGGCTATATAGCTGTATTTTTGTGTCATATGAGGAAATTATGTAAAGGATGTTAAACTACTATTCAAATATTAGTTGTTATTTAAGAACTAAGGATAACCCAGATACTTTCTCTCTCACATATATCCTGAATTAATCCCTTCATATTCCAAGAAAAATTATTGAGTCATCTGCATCAATATTTCATGTTCCGCTTCCTCTCAAAAGCAAAACAGGAACCAAAAAATTCATAGCTGAGGCCATACACAGGTGCCCATGCCTGTAATGCTAGTACTTTGGGAGGCCAAGGCAGGCAGATCACTTGAGCTCAGGAGTTTGAGACCAGCCTGGGCAACATGGTGAAACCCCATCTCTACCAAAAATGCAAAAAATTAGCTGGGTGTGGTGATGCCCGTGGCCCCAGCTACTTGAGAGGCTGAGGTGGTCGGATTGCATGAGCCCAGGAGGCAGAGGTTGTGGGGAGCCAAGATTGTGCCACTACTCCAGCTTGGGTGACAGAGTAAGATCCTGTTGCAAAAAAAAAAAAAATTATAGGCAAAATGGGGGAATTAGATAACATTTACAAAATAATATACTACAGAATCCAATTTGAAACATATTTATTTGGTTAAGTCAAGTTGAAAAAAACAATAGAACAGTTTACTATAGCTATAAATCTCTAAGTATATAAGTAACTTCAGAGTGAGTAAGTGAGTAACCTATATCAAAACAAAGAACAAGGCCATGAGAGCCTAAGGAATGTATTCCAGTGAATTCTGAATGAAAGAAAATAAGGCATTTTTTTCTCAAGATAGACAAATAAATAGAATACCCAGAGTTGAGATTATACTATAATTCTCTATAAGAAAAAGTGATAAGAAGGAACTTGACACCTAACAACAGGGAACATGTAGGTTCCAAGGACCAGCTTTGAAAAACAAGATCGGGCCGGGCGCGGTGGCTCACGCCTATAATCCCAGCACTTTGGGAGGCCGAGGCGGGTGGATCACGAGGTCAAGAGATCGAGACCATCCTGGTCAACATGGTGAAACCCCGTCTCTACTAAAAATACAAAAAATTAGCTGGGCATGATGGTGCGTGCCTGTAATCCCAGCTACTGGGGAGGCTGAGGCAGGAGAATTGCTTGAACTCAGGAGGCGGAGTTTGCGGTGAGCCGAGATCGTGCCATTGCACTCCAGTCTGGGTAACAACAGTGAAACTCCGTCTAAAAAAAAAAAAAAAGAAAAGAAAAAGAAAAACAAGAAGATATTGGATACTAAAATAAATCAAGGGCCGGGTACAGTGGCTCACACTTACAATCCCAGCACTTTGGGAGGTCGAGGTGGGTGGATCACTTGGGGTCAGGAGTTCAAGACCAGTCTGGCTCACATGGCAAAACCCTGTATCTACTAAAAATATAAAAATTAGCTGGGCGTGGTGGCACAGACCTGTAATGCCAGCTACTTAGGAGGCTGAGGCAGGAGAATCGATTGAACCTGGGAGGTGGAAGTTGCAGTGAGCCGAGATCATGCCACTGCACTCCAGCCTGGGCAAGAGTGAGACTGTGTCTCAAAAATAATAACAATAATAATAAAATGAAATAAATCAAGGAATAAAAATAATTACTAAATTGGATTAGGCTAAGGAAGATAGAAGCTAAATGGGAAAGAAAAACAAAAGATGAGTTACAGAGTATATTTCTTACTAGCTATGTCCTTCCTAACATTATTCAAAAGTACTGGGTAGACTGAAGTTATTTAGGGGAAATATTACCTTCCCCTACCCCCTCACTTTTAATGCATTAGGCATTACTACATTGTAGTCCATGGATAGTGATGGATTTATGGTAATAATTTAGCTATATTCTTACCAATATTTTTTACTATCTTTTCAAGAAATTTGAAAGAGAATATGTAAAGGAATATGACATATTCACACCATCCAGAATTTAGAACTGTTAACAGTCTATTGTATGTACTTGCAGTGTCTTTTTAATTTAATTTTATTTTTTTGGAGACGGAGTCTTGCTCTATCATCCAGGGTGGAATGCAATGGCATGATCTCACCTCACTGCAACCTCTGCCTCCCGGGTTCAAGCAATTCTTCTTCATTAGCCTCCAGAGTAGCTGGGACTATGGGTGTGTACTGCCACACCTAGCTAATTTTTTGTATTTTAGTAAAGATGGGTTTCACCGTGTTCCAAACTCCTGAGCTCAGGCAGTCCTTCTGCCTCAGCCTCTCAAAGTGCTAGGATTACAGGCATGAGCCACTGTGCCCGACCTCAGTCTCTTTTTTAAAAAGAAAATAAAACATTATAGTACCTCTAAACTATATTCAGCTTCCCAGCATGACAGGTTTCTTTGCCCTCTCTACCTTTCTAGGAGCAATCACTATCAGTTATTTTTTAAATTTATAATTGACATAAACTTGTACATATTTATGGTAAACATTCAGTGCAGCTATACATTATATAATGATCAAATCAGGATAATTACCATATCTATCACTTTAAACATTTATCATTGTCTTTGTAGTGACAACACTCAAACCCTTCTAGCTATCTTGAAAAAAAACCAAAACACTACATTGTTATTTGCTATAGCTCCCACTGTGTAATAGAAGACCAAAACTTATTCTTCCTGCCTCATTTTTATTTTCTATTTTTTTTAGAGACAGAATATCACGCTGTCACCCAGGCTGGAGTTCAGTGGCATGGTCATAGCTCCCTGTAGCCTTGAATTCCTGTCACAATCATCCCACCTCAGCCTCCCCAGTAGCTAAGACACTATGCCAGACCTTTTTTTTTTTTTTTTTTTTTTGGTAGAGATAGGATCTTGCCATTTTGCCCAGGCTGGTCTGAAACTCCTAGGCGTAAACAGCCCTCCCGCCTCCTTCTCCCAAGTTGCTGGGATTACAGGCTTGAGTGTCTCTGCCTAGCCTAATCTTCCTCTCTAACTGTAACACTGACCAAGACTAACCTCTCTCAGTCCCCCATTCCCTCCTGCCCTCCCCACCCTCTGATAATCACCCTTCTACTGTCTACTTCTATGAAATCAACATTTTTAGATTCCAGATATGAGTGAGATGCTGCTGTGTTTGTCTTGCTGTGCCTGGCTTATTTCACTTAACGTTTGTCCTCCATGTTCATCCATTTACCAGGTTTATCCGTTGTTACTGCAAATGACAAAATTTCATTCTTATGGCTGAGTAGTAGTCATCGTTGTTGTCTGTATATGTATATGTGTGTGTATATAAATATATACACCACATTTTTATCCATTCATCTGTAGATGGGCATTTAGGTTGATTCCTGTGTTGGCTATTGTGAAAAATACTGCAATAAGCATGGGAGTGCAGTTGTCTTTTTGGTATACTGACTTCATATCCTTTGGATATGTACCCAGTGATGGGATTGCTGGATCATATGGTTGCTCTATTTTTAATTTTTTGAATTTCCATACTGTTTTCCATAATGGCTCTACTGATTTGCATTCCCACCAATAGTGTACAGATATACCTAAGAGATAATTGCAGATTTGGTTCTGGACCACTGCAATAAAGCAAATATCACAATAGAACAAGTCAGAAAAAGTTTTTGGTTTCCCAGTGCATGTAAAAGTTACATTTACACTATACTATAGTTTAGTAAGTGTACAGTACCATTATGTCTAGAAACACAGTGTATATACCTTAATTTATAAATACTTTATTGCTAAAAAAAATACAATCATCTGAGCCTTTAGCAACTCCTAGTCTCTGTGCTGGTAAAGAGTCTTGCCTTGATGTTGATGGCTACTGACTGATCAGGATGGTGCCTGCTGACTGCTGGGGTTACTATGATAGTTTCTTAAAGTAAGACAGCAATAAAGTTTGCCACATTGATTAACTCTTTCACGAGAGTTCCCTGTAGTATGCGATGCTGCTAATTGACAGCATTTTACCCACAATAGAACAGGTTTCAAAATTGGAGTCAGTTCTTTCAAAGCCTGTCACTGCTTTATCAACTAAATTTATGTAATGTTCTATTAGTACATCCTTTGTTGTCATTTCAGCAATGTCCACAGCATCTTCATGAGTAGATTCCATCTCAAGAAACCACTTTCTTTGCCCATCCATAAGAAGCAACTCCTCATCCGTTCAAGTTTTATCCTGAGATTGCAACAATTCAGTCAAATCTTCAGGCTCCACTTGTAATTCTAGTTTTTTCTATTTATATCACATCTGCAGTTACTGCCTCCACTGAGGTCTTAGGCCCCTCAAAGTCATTCGTGAGAGTTAGAATCACGAATTAAGGTTGATATTTTGACTTCCTCCCATGAATCACAAGTGCTGTCTAGAATGGTGAATCCTTTCCAAAAGGTTATTTACTTTCTATCTAAGGTTATTTACTCTCTATCACTATCTATGGCAGATAATATTAATAGCATTATGAAGTGTATTTCTTAAATAATAAGACTTGAAAGTCAAAATTACACCTTTGTCCACGGGCTGTAGAATGGATGTTTTGTTAATAGGCATAAGAACATTAATCTCCTTGTACATCTCTATCAGGGCTATTGGGTGACCAGGCCATCACGGCTCACTGCATCCTCGACTCCCCAGGCTCAGACAGTTCTCCCGCCTCAGCCTCCTGAGTAGCTGGGACTACAGGTGTGTACCACCACACCCCACTAATTTTTTGCTATTTTTAGTAGAGATGGGGTTTCTCCTTGTTGACCTGGCCAGTCTTGAACTCCTGGGCTTAAGTGATCCTCCCACCTCAGCCTCCCAAAATGTTGAGATTGCGGGCGTGGGCCACTGCTCCTGGTTAGTCTCTGTTTATAAGAAAATTATACTCTTATGTGTATTTTTGGAAATTTTATAAATAAAAAGTGTTTTAAATGTATGTTTCTCTTGACCTAGCAATTCCTCTTAAAGGAAGGTATCTTAAAATAATAATCAGGAATTTCGTCAAGGATTTATATATGAGGATGTTCAGTAAAGTAGTAACATAGAGACAAATTGGAAACAAACATTATTAATATTCAAAGATTTATAGGGCTGGTGTGGTCGCTCATACCTGTAATCCCAGCACTTTGGGAGGCCAAGGTGGGTGGATAGCTTGCAGTCAGGAGTTTGAGACCAGCCTGGACAACATGGAGAAACCCCATCTCTACTAAAAATACAAAAATTAGCTGGGCACAGTGGTGCACGCCTGTAATCTCAGCTACTTGGGAGGCTGAGGCGTGAGAATCACTTGAGCCTGGGAAACAGAGGTTGCAGTGAGCTGAGATCATGCCACTGCACTCCAGCCTGGGCAGTAGAGTGAGACTCTCTCTCAAAAAAAAAAAAAAAAGATTTATAAATAAATTACAGTACATCCTTTCACCTGTTAGACTCTGAAATCCAAAAGCATCAAGACCCACCTGATTGATGAAGCTCTGTGAAAACAGGCACTCTCACTTATTGCTGAAGGAGCTGACACAATGGAGAACAATTTGACAATATTAATGAAATAACTAACCCATTTGCCTTGTGACTTAGCACTCTCACTTCTGGGAATATGTTCTGCAACAATCGTGTATGAAATTGTTATTCATACAATAAGACTAATAAGTAATCTTATAATAAAGATTATTACAGTTAAATTACTTATTAAAAGATCACTGTATACATTTACTGTGTATGTTCTGAAAGATCACTGTATAAGCTAACTAGTCCACTATTGCGGGCTAGCCTATACTACATGCTATGGAAAAAAGTCCATTATTGCAGACTAGGTAATTAAATTGTGGGCTATACAAAGGATTACTATACAGTTGGAGAAAGGATAAGGAAGATCCATATCTGCACATACAGTACGGTAGCCACTAGCTACATGTGGCTGTTTAAATCTGAATTACATAAAATGTAAAAATTCAGTTTTTGGTCATGCTAGCTACATTTAAAAGTGCTCAGTAGCCACATGTGCCTACTGGCTACCATATTGGACAGCACAGATATAGACCATTTCTATCAATGGAGAAAGATTTTTTTGGACAGCACTGCTTTGTATAGTGTATTAGTCCATGTTCACACTGCTGATAAAGACATACCTGAGACGGGCAATTTACAACAGAAAGAGGTTTTGTACTCCAGCCTAGGTGACAGAGTGAGATCCTGTCTAAAAGAAGCAATACGTAACAGACATCTAAAGATAGAAAATACTATCTAAAACAAACTATAGTTCCACATAGCTGGGGAGGCCTCACACTCATGGTGGAAGGCAAGGAGGAGCAAGTCACATCCTACGTGGGTGGTGACAGGAAAAGAGCTTGTGCAGGGAAATTCCCCCTTACATTACCATCAGATCTCTCGAGAGTTATTCACTATCACGAGAACAGCGCAGGAAAGACCTGCCCTCATGATTTAATTACCTCTCACCAGGTCCCTCCCACAACGCATGGGAATTCAAGATGAGATTTGGGTAGGGACACAGCCAAACCATATCATATAGCAAATACAGAACATCTCTAAAATAAATACCTGTATTATAATATATAACAGATACCTAAAGATAGAAAATACTATGTAAACAAAACTCAGTTTTCTTGTGAAAGTTTAAAACTGATTTCCAAACACATGGAAGCTTTTCACATATTTTTTTCTTTTTTTTAGACAGGATCTCACTCTGTCACCCAGGCTAGAATAGTGGTGTGATCATGGTTCACTGTAGCCTCAACCTCCCAAATACAACAGATCCTCCCACCTCAGCCCCTGAAGTAGCTGGGACCACAGGCATGCACCACCACACCTTACTCATTTTGTTTATTTTTTGTAGGTATGAGATTTCTCTGTGATGCCCAGGCTGGTCTTGAGCTCCTGAGTTCAAGCAATCCTTCCCTCTTGGTCTCTCAAAGTGCTGGGATTACAGTTGTGAGGCATCACACCCTGCTGATTTTTTTTTTTAATTAAAATCAATAACTACCCCATTTTCTCCTGTCAGTTTGCCATTTTTTTCAGATGTATTAATATGATTGCCAGGTAGATTACATATTCTGGAAATAATTCAGTTGGTACAATTGTTGAAGGCAAACAGTATAAAGGATTCTTGATGAACTCATAAGTTTTCAGCCAGCCTTTCTTGATCCCAGCCTGCGTGAAGAAGTAACCTTCTTCAGTGCTTGATTGATTGCATGTTCTAAATGAACTCTAAATTTGCTAGGTGCTATGAAATACCTAACCAAAAGTTACAGCTGTAATCATACTTCCTGAAGTATTCTGAAATTAGGTATAAGGCAGACCTGGTGCGTGCCTGTGCCAGCTATTTGGGAAGCTAAGGCAGGAGGATCACTTGGGGACAAGAATTCAAGGCTGCTGTGTGCTATGATCACAACTGTGAATATTCACCACAGCCTGGGCAACATAGCAAGGCCCCATCTCTGAGAAAAGTTTTAAAAATAAATTAGGTATAATCTCTGTATGGCTGCAGAACATCTTAAAATGTGTATCTTAGAGTCTGGCTTATTTTAATATTGTCTAAAAAGATGATAGGAAATAATTATAGTTTTTTTTTTAATGGGGAATTGAACTATAAATTTGAGATACTAATAATTTATTTTAACAGATCAACAGAAAATAAGAAAATTATCTCTCTGGAAGATAAAGTTGTAGACTTTAGAGAAAAAGACTCATCTTTGAATTTATCTTATCAAAGTCATGACTGCTCTGGTGCTTGTCTGATGAAAACGCCACTCACCTTGAAGGGAGAAAACCCTCTGCAGCTGCCAATCAAATGTCACTTCCAAAGACGACATGCAAAGACAAACTCTCATTCTTCAGCACTCCATGTGAGTTATAAAACCCCTTGTGGAAGGAGTCTACGAAACGTGGAGGAAGTTTTTCGTTACCTGCTTGAGACAGAGTGTAACTTTTTATTTACAGATAACTTTTCTTTCAATACCTATGTTCAGTTGGCTCGGAATTACCCAAAGCAAGAAGAAGTTGTTTCTAATGTGGATATTAGCAATGGAGTGGAATCAGTGCCCATTTCTTTCTGTAATGAAATTGACAGTAGAAAGCCCCCACAGTTTAAGTACAGAAGGACCGTGTGGCCTCGAGCTTATTATCTAACCAACTTTTCCAGCATGTTTACTGATTCCTGTGACTGCTCTGAGGGCTGCATAGACATGTGAGTAGAAAAAAATGGCATTTCAAAAAATCTTCTGAATGTAAGGACACTTGTTAAGAAGTCTTGCTATGTATAAATTTGTTTGTCTAAAACCTGTTCAAGAGTCTACAGTGAGTCTGGGCATGGTGGCCAACACATGTAATCCCAGCGCTTTGGGAGGCCAAAGTGGGAGGCTAGCTTGAGCCCAGGAGTTTGAGACCATCTTGGGCAATATGACAAAACCCCATCTTTACAAAAAACTTAAAACTTAGCTGGGTATAGTGGCATACACGTATAGTCCCAGCTACTGTGGAGGCTGGGTAGGAGGTCTGCTTGAGCCCAGGAGATCAAGGATGCAGTGAGCTGTGATCACACACTGTACCAGAGGCCTGAACAACAGAGCAAGACCCTGTGTCAAAAAAAAAAAAAGTCTACAATGGAAAAATTAGCTCTCTCACTAGCAGTAGGAAAAAAAAAAACAAAACCCTGTAATTGTTTGCCAAATACGGTAATTTGAAACTTATTTCTTCCAAGGATGCATATTTCCTTTAATCTAGTACTAATACATTAAAGGATCATCAATAGCATTACAACAAATGATATTTAACAGTGTCAGACACTGTGACAAGTACTTTACATTCATTTTCTTAATCTTCACAAAAACCCAGAGGTAGATAGTATCTCAGTGTTACACATGAGGAAGTTGAGCCTCAGAGAAGTCAACGTGGAAAGGTCATAGGACAAATTGTAGAGACAGAAATTGAACCCGTGTTCTTAACTGCTGGATTATATGTTGTATTTTACTTTTAAAAATTGCTGGTGATGCTTATAACTAGTATTTTTTTTAATCATAGTATGGTTTTAACATTCCATTAAAAAATGAAAATGTTCTAATACATTAAGACTTTGAAAAACATTTTAAGGCTGTGTAGTACACATATTTATAGGTATACAGATGTAGAGTAGCACTGCATTATATGTACATTGAATTTAATGCAAATTTAGCTACCTATATTAGGCAAAAAATAAAAGAATGATAAATAATTTAAATAGTACAGGTAATAGTTTTCACCATCCTCTCTATTAATTGGAGTGTAAGACGAGAGCTGTATCTACTGTTACCTCAGTTTGGCTCAGTTCCTTGAGGCCTCTCATAGAGAAAACCTCTCACTGTACTGTTTTATTCTGTTTTAAAACATGTATTTTATTTTGTAAAGATTGCCTCTAAATGTAACCCAACTACTTTATCTGGGCACTGGGCTCTCCAGAGGAAAAGAAACAGGTACCTGCACAAGACTGGGAACTAGGCTAGTATCTCACAGGGCCTGGAACTGTATTAATGAAAACCTTGTTAACAGCTGTAAAACGAATAGAGTCAGAGCCAAAGCGGTGGAGAAAGCATCCAACATAGAGCTGCACACAGGACTAAACCCCACAGAAGGTATGATTTCAAACGAACATTTAAAGCACAAAAAGATATTAGGACCATGAAGGCAGCATGAGACCTGACAAGTAGGGAGAATTCACACTTCAAGAGTCAAAGATAAATGTCAAATCTGATTGAAAGAGACTTTAAAACAGGTATAATTAAACTGTCCCAAGAGGCTGGACACCGTGGCTCGTGGCTGTAATCCTAGCACTTTGGGAAGCTGAGGTAGGAACATCATTTGAGCCCAGGAGTTCGAGACCAGCTCAGGCAACCTAGTGAAACCCCATCTCTACAGAAATACAAAAATTAGCCTGATGTGTTGGGATGCACTTGTAGTCCCAGCTACTCAAGAGTCTGAGGGTGGGAGGATCACCTGAGTCCAGGGAGGTCGCGGCTACAGTAAGCCAAGATTGTGCCACCACACTCCAGCCTGGGCAACAGAGTGAGGCCCCCTTCTCCAAAAATAAAAACTATTAAATAACTTAATTATATATAAAGTGAGCAATACCTAATCCTGTAGAAAAAAGGAATTAACCAGATTTGTATATAGCATGGATGGGTCTCAAAAACATTATATTGAACAGAAATAGCAAGTTATAGAATAATACCTATAGCAATTTTTTTATGAAAATGCACAATGTTGTTTGTAGATATATATGTATATAAAGCATAAAAGACGCCACAGTAAATCTCTTAAGAGTTTAGTTATATCAGTAATGTTCTACTTTTTAACTTTTCTTAAGAAGACTATGTATACGTGGTGTATATACAGTATGTATATTTTAAACTGTGTACATAGGAAAAAGAACTAGACAAAATGCTGACAACTAATTCTGGATGGTGGAAATATGGGTATTTATTATCTGTATTTTTCTGTACTTTTTAAACTTTGCATACAAAATCACATGGGAAAAAATAGCTATAGATTTTTACATTTGTAAACAGAATCCAAAGTAATGAATTTGCCGGGCGCGGCGGCTCAAGCCTGTAATCCCAGCACTTTGGGAGGCCGAAGCGGGTGGATCACGAGGTCAAGAGATTGAGACCATCCTGGTCAACATGGTGAAACCCCGTCTCTACTAAAAATATAAAACATTAGCTGGGCATGGTGGCGCGTGCCTGTAATCCCAGCTACTCAGGAGGTTGAGGCAGGAGAATTGCCTGAATCCAGGAGGCGGAGGTTGTGGTGAGCCAAGATTGCGCCATTGCACTCCAGCCTGGGTAACAAGAGCAAAACTCTGTCACACACACACACACACACACAAAATTAATGAATTTGTTGATTTTTCTTGTTGTTGTTCTTTTCTCTTACAAATGGCAGCCACCATTCTGACATGTATTAATTAATACAGAAAATATAGAAAATTTTAGAGGAAAAGACCTTAAAGTCACTTGTTCAGCAAAGAAGACTAAGATCCAGAGATTTTAACCAGCTCACCCATAGTCACATATCTAGTTATACAGCTAGAGTCCCGAAGTTCCTTACTCTATATGGAATTATGGATCCCTGTCAAGTTAGTTAATCATCTGAATAGAGGGGAGAGTTTTGTGGTTGCAAGTTTCCTGCCTCGCAACAGTATGAAAAAAAGGATTCTATAATAGTAGCCAGATACCCAGTATCAATTTCCCCAATCTGTTTTTGTGTCACTGGAGTGAGAGAGAACTTAAGATATCTGCAAAACTACATCCTTAAAAATTTGACATATTTTATCCATTGTAAAAGAGCAGAACTAGCAGAATTCTCACAAACAAGCTTCTGCGCTGAACAGGGAAATGAAAGGAATTGATTTTGAAAAGCTAAACTCATATAGTTTATTTATTTCATGAGCAAATAGAGATGTAGTGCAGTTATAATTATTTACGAACTTTTGATAGTATTGTCTTTCAAAGAGATCTGTTTAGGGAAAAAGTTCATAGTGTTCATGAGCCAAACAACTATTCCAAATGCTATTACATCTTTTAGTACATCATTTATGCTTTTATCAAGACAGTCTCTTGACTTAACTTGGTGCTTTTTCATTCTTTCTCCATCCATTGCCTTCCTTTTAGAACAAAATGTGCATGTCTTCAACTGACAGCAAGGAATGCGAAAACTTCCCCCTTGTCAAGTGATAAAATAACCACTGGATATAAATATAAAAGACTACAGAGACAGATACCTACTGGGTAAGGTACCTTGATGATTTGTTGCAGGGTGTGTATATCTTTGAAGGTGGGTACTTTTTACTGTGGTCTGAAATCTTATAGATGTTGTTAAATCTGGTTTAATTTGGTTCTAATACCAAAAATTCAAATTATTAAGGAATAAAAACCTGTATATTTTTCATAGAAATGGTAGTCAGAGACTACATGTACATCATACAGAGTGTACTCGAACACTCACCTGCTTTGAGTCTGGCTTTTAACCCTCTAGGATCAGCCTACTTTGGGTAGCCATTTTTGCATTTAAAAATACACTGTCTAGAACTTATTGGAGAATTGGGAATTTTCAACCTTTCAAGGTACTGACTCAATCACAAAGCAGCTCTATGAGGTAGGTATTATCATATAACCCCCATTTTAAAAATGCAAAGTTAAAGCACAAAGAGGTTAAATAACTCATCCAAGGTCATACAGCTAGTAAATGTGGAAGCTGTGATGGGTACCCAGGCACTATACCTCTAAGAGCTTTCACATTTAGCCTGCTTCCCTCAGTAGTTATCAGTACCAGTAAGTGGAAATAAACTGCTTTTTGCTCTTTAGGGTGTCTGATTTTCTCTTTTGCATATTTTGTTGACAGCATTTATGAATGCAGCCTGTTGTGCAAATGTAATCGACGATTATGTCAAAACCGAGTCGTCCAACATGGTCCTCAAGTGAGGCTACAGGTGTTCAAAACTGAGAAGAAGGGTTGGGGGGTACGCTGCCTGGATGACATTGACAGAGGGACATTTGTTTGCATTTATTCAGGTAAAGCAAAGGTTTATTTTCAAATTATTCCAGAGTAGAATCTACCTTTCTGAATATCCATTTTCCTAGCCACGGCCATTGAGAGCTTACAGCAAGGTAAAGAGTAACAATATCTAAGAGGAACATCAGAGGAAGGCAAGTGAACTGGGAACTTGAGCATTCTGAGATACCTTAGGAGGTACCACATGTTTAAGAAAAGAAATGTTCAGAGATGAAACTTGGGTAATTGTGTGAGGTCCTGTTTTTTACAAGGCACATTTGTTTTGTCTGCCTGGCTACAGGTGCTTTGGGGTAAGGGTAGAAAACTTTTTAAAAGTAAAAAAAAATTAAATGCCTGACTTGCCAAGGTAAAGATTCCCTGTCAAAGACTTCCTTATTCAATGTTTTATGCTATTATTAGAATTTAACAAGTTAATGTGATACCTGCATGTTATAATTCAGTCAGTGATTTTAGGCAACTCACTCTATTTGGGGGACTGCAGAGAGTTGTCCGTGCTGCAGAGCAAAACTTCCCAAGCAGTATGTTACAGTTGTGCAATTACTGATTGTTTAGGGCCACAGCCCCAGGACCAAACACATCAGTCTTCAGTAGTCTTAGGCATTTACCTCCAGGCAAATGCCTAAAACTATGCAGCAAAAACCTTATTTTCTGTGCACATCCTTATGTGAGAAAGTTAGGGAAACACAGCTTTAGAGCCAGTCTAAAGGGATTGTCCTTAACTTATTCTCGGCAGCTAGGCAGCAGGAAACATAACAACCAGGTTCTGAAATTCCTTATCTGAAAAATCAGGTTTATCTGTTTACATGACCAAGTGCTTAAAAAAGAAGAGAGGCTGGGCGCGGTGGCTCACGCCTGTAATCCCAGCACTTTGGGAGGCCGAGGCGGGTGGATCACAAGGTCAAGAGATCGAGACCATCCTGGTCAACGTGGTGAAACCCCATCTCTACTAAAAATACAAAAAAAATTAGCTGGGCATGGTGGTGCGTACCTGTAATCCCAGCTACTCGGGAGGCTGAGGCAGGAGAATTGCCTGAACCCAGGAGGCGGAGGTTGCGGTGAGCCGAGATTGCGCCATTGTACTCCAGCCTGGGTAACAAGAGCGAAACTCTGTCTCAAAAAAAAAAAAAAAAGAGAAAAATTTCAGGTTCATGTCAGGGAGAACAAGAAGCTTGCAGAGTTATGTGAATTCAGAGTAGTCACACTTATGGATCCCTGCTACTCCCCACTTATAGATCCGCATTCTGCACAGCCTGCCTAGACATTCATCTCTCATACTTCTCAAAATAACTCTTGGATGAAAGCTACCTATAAAATGCCAAGTGGTGTCTAGGAAGTATCATTGGTTTTATCTGTGTTGTTAGAAAATGTACATAAGCTATGTCTTTGATCTAAGGATAGGTAAGAATATCCTGCTATTAATTTTGACTTGGCAACTATAATATTGAATACCTTGAAAGAAAATGCATAAACTTTTAAGATTTTTGTGTTACGCAAGACTTAATATGACAATGCTAAGTGCATATCACCACAGATTTAAATAGGTACTTTTTTGGTTAGAAAGTGTAAGTTTCAGATGATAAAGCCTTTTTAACTAGACACAAAAGCTACAATTTTATGACTAGAGATCATCTCTCTAATTTTCTAGAGTACTTTCTGATCCATATCTTTGTTTTGTATTATTGTAGTTAAACCTCTTTTGTGTTATACCAAAACAGACAGATGGTTTTTTTAGATCCTCTATTTTTAATATACTGGAATATAAGAAATACCACATTGGTCTTTGTCTTACAGCAGTCTTGTAGGATGAGTTAATGTGTTTCTCTTCGTTGTAGAAAGTATGGGTTCTTTAGTTATGGAGTAAAAATAGAGGTGTCCATTTGTTGTTAGCAATTATATTCTCTTCTGTCTTGTTCAAACTCTTGAACATTTTTCCTTTTAGGAAGATTACTAAGCAGAGCTAACACTGAGAAACCTAATGGTATTGATGAAAACAGGAGAGATGAGAATACTGTGAAAAATGTATTTTCAAAAAAGAGGAAATTAGAAGTTGCATGTTCGGATTGTGAAGTTGAAGTTATCCCATTAGAACTGGAAACACATCCTAAAAGTGCTAAAACTGAGAAGTATTCACCAAAGTTCAGTAATAATCCCAAGGAGTTTACTATGTAAGTAATAGCTGAGGAACCCATAGTAAATCTAAATTATTATGGATTGATTGGTTCTTTTTCCTTCCCCTCNCTTTTCATTGTCAAAACATCCAAGAGCTGGGTGTTGTGCTCTGCAGATAAAGACAATACCTTGCTCTTCTTCCTTTTCACAAACAGGATTACATTTGTATTTATCATCTTGCTTTAAAGTTGTTAAGTCTAACACTTTGAGACATCCAGGACATTTAAAAATCTAGCCAACATACTATCCTCAGTGTTCCATTTTCTGGAATTTTACCTTATATGACTTTAATCAGATTTTTTATGAATGACATAAGTTTTACTGTTTTTAAAATTTTTCCATTTTATCTGCAAAGTTTTCATAGGTTCTCTTCCTTTTTTAAAACATACTTCAAAAATTATTTAAAGTATGATTTTATTTCCCTTCTCTAGGGAAAGGAATAAGCATAGATGTTCTTAATTAATTATTATGGATATTTATGTAATAATGGATATTATCTGTACTTCAGTGAAGAGAATTTTTAATGATACAGAATCACTTTTTTTTTCCTTTTTAGGGAAATGAAGTATAGCAATATTTCAAGAATTCGATATCATTCAGTTATTAGAGGTCCTGAATCCAAGACAGCCATGTTTCAACACAATGGGAAGAAAATGGTAAAAACTGCAAAATGTAGATGCAGCCCTTCATTTCTTTTTTAATTTTTATTTTTAAATCTTTTTTTTTTTTTTTGGACACAGAGCCTCACTCTGTCACCCAGGCTGGAGTGCAGTGGCACAATCTCCTGGGCTTGAGTGATCCTTCTGCCTCAGCCTCCCAAATAGCTGGGACTACAGGTATACACCACCATGTCTGGCTCTTATTTAGTAGAGACAGGGTCTCACTATATTGCCCAGGCTGATCTCCAGCTTCTGAGCTCAAGCAGTTGTCATGCCTCAACCTCCCAAAGTGCTGGGATTATAGGCATGAGCTACTGTGCCCAGCTGATGGGGCCCTTCTGAGATCATAAACTGTTGCCTTTCTTTCCTTTACTTAGCTCAAAATGTTTGTTACTTTATAGCATGTAGAATTTCTTCTATTGTTTTGGAATGGTAGACTGTGGAAATGCTAGGACCATGTTCTATTTACTTAACATTGTCCACGGCAGTTGGCGTGTTTCCAGCCTGGCTGTTTGAGGAGAATGCTGGTCATGATCTGACAGTGTATGCTCCACTGAGACTGAGAGGTAGCCCATTCTGAGAATTTGTGGGAGAAGCTAAAGTGTTCAAGAGTTAATAGTGATCTATGATAAGAAAAGGGACGAAGTAGGTAAAGGAGAAGAAGGGTTTTTGTTTTGTTTTGTTTTGTTTTGTTTTGTTTTGTTTTGTTTTGGAGACTGAGTTTCACTCTTGTTGCCCAGGCTGGAGTGCAATGGTGCAACCTCCGCCTCCTGGGTTCAAGCGATTCTCCTGCTTCAGCCTCCCCAGAAGCTGGGATTACAGGTGCCTGCCATTACTCCCAGCTAACTTTTTGTATTTTTAGTAGAGACAGGGTTTCCTCATGCTGGCCAGACTGGTCTCAAACTCCTGACCTCAGGTGATCCACCTGCCTCAGACTCCCAAAGTGCTGGGATTACAGGCATAAACCACCGTGCCCAGCCAAAGGTTTTAAGATGTAGGAGAAAGAAGAGATGCAACTTTATGAAAGAATCATCCAGAAATATTTTATGTGGTAGCCTCTGAGGGTACCCTTTGCAGTCTGAACTAAGAAGATTACTAAAACATAGAAGCAAAGAAAGAGGAAAGAGAACGAAGAGAGACATAGTGGTAGCTTATATTAGGGCTTGTGGATGGAAAGTAAAAACTGTGCTTTAGGTGCTACACAAATATTTGCCCTCTCCCTGGTAATGGTACAATAGCTACCTCCTTAGGGTCAGAGAATTATGAAAAGATTGGCCATGGTGTCACACAGACCCAGGTTTAACCTTCAGCTCTGCTGCCTGCTAGCTGGGTGGTATCTCCATATATACATTTCTTTTATCTGTAAAAAGATAATAGTAGATGTCTCAGAGTTATGAGGATTAAATGAAATAAGCATCTTAAGGTTGCTTAGCATAATGCTTAGCATCCAACTAAGTGCTCAATACTTGTTAACCATTCAGATACTGAGAACTTTCATAGTAATAATATGGTCAATGTGCATTGAACACTTAGTTGTTTGCCAAGCATTGTGCTAAGCATATACCCCTCTTTTAAAGTTAGCATTACTATTTAAAGTGACTGCAGTGTATACAATGCATAAATACTGTCAAATTCATTAACCTTTCTTTGAAGTAGAAACTAGCCAGTGAGTGTTTTTAGTCTTTACACAATTTACAGTTGAAGCCAAATTTATAATCTAGTAATAACACTTTCTCAGTACTGAGAATGATTACAATTGGGGTTACAGACAGATGTATTAAGATTTTAATTCCCAAAGAATTTCTTGACAGTCTTTATAGCTGTGGCTTAATAAAGCATCTAGGAGTAGAACACACTGCTAGCATTTGACACATACTGGCTCCATTAGCCCATTGGCTCCATGATACCAGTTTTGAGGCTTTTCAGACTAACTAGTACGTACAGATTATGATGATTGACACTTGATAAAAGAGGCGTAACTGCTAAATACTTTTTCCTGACCTGGAAAGTAAAGACATCTTCCTTGTTTTTTTAAGGAATTTGTTTCCTCAGAGTCTGTCACTCCAGAAGATCATGATGGATTTAAACCAACCCAAGAACATCTGAACTCTGAAACCAAGGGAGCACAAAGTAGGCTTTGTTTCTTCTGTGAATGCCCACATCTTCTGCCTGTTTCTCTGTGTCTTGCTCAATACCTGTAGCTCATTTTCTTAGATGCCATAATAAACATGCTGCCTTTGTCACAAAGGTTACAACTTACCTAGGTAAGAGGTCAGCCAACTATGGCTTGTGGGCCATATCTGGCCCTCTACCTGTTCACTATAGCATGGGAGCTAAGAATGATTTTTACATTTTTAAATAGTTGAAAAAAAATCAGAAGGTGATAATATTTTGACACTTGAAAATTATATGAAATTTTAGTGTCCAGAGATGAAGTTTTGGACTGGTGCAGTAGCTCAGCCCGTAATCTCAGCACTTTGGGAGGCCAAGGCAGGAGGGTTGCTTGAGGCCATGAGTCTGGGCAACATAGCAAGATCTTGTCTCAACAACAGCAACAAAATTAGCCAGGTGTGGTGGTGCACACCTGTGGTCTTAGCTACTCAGGGGGCTGAAATGGGAGGATTATTGAGGTCAGGAGTTAGAGGTTACAGTGAACTATGATTGTGTCACTGCACTGCAGCCTGAACGATTGAACAAGACCCTGTCTCAAAAAAATGTCAGTTTTATTAGAATAGAACCAATTTGCATTAAATATTGTTGGCTTCAACATTACAGCAAAATTGAATAATCACAACGGAGACCACATGGCCAGCAAAGCCTAAAATATTTGCTATTTTGCCTTCTAAAGAAGAACTTTGCTGACCTCTGGTCTAATTGCCAGTATTGACTTGATGCATGGTAAGAGGGGTGGTGGGCTGGACAACTCTGACTCTTATGTGGTGCACAGGTATTGTCTGTGGCTTTGGAACCATTGTGCAAAGCAGCCACTTTCAAACTCTTTGTAGATGCCTTTAAAAATAAACACACATCAGTCTCCTGCAATTGTCTAGCCAATACTGCCGGAGAGCATACTCAGCATGATTCTAGCAAAAGGCCAAAATATTGCCACCCTGAGTCCTTATGTTTCAGAGTTACTAGTCCTTGCCATAGTTAATATTACAACTGCACAATCCTTGTTTTTGGTACTTTTGCATTTCACTGTGTCCTTCACAAGGAGACATTGCTGAGATATGTCCATTTGTGAAGAATTGGTGAGCCAATTCTAAAAGAATTTATTTTACCATGCAGGTGAGTCACAATGCATACCATTGCTTTTGGTTCTTTTGCCCTTTTCATTGACTGCTACAATTTATATAGCAGGTACTCCAAAAGTCAAAAGTTACTTACGTTTTGTATAAAAAAAATCCAAAGTTATATTATAGCTTACATGTAACTCATGATTAAAATATGAGTACCTGTAGGAACGGCAGCCAGCAATGGTGGTGATTAAATCAAGAGCCTTAATTTTAGACAAATAATTTTTTTGTGTCAGTGAATTAGGTGGCACAAATAGCTTTGTGGCTTTTTTAAAATAAGTAATTTATACTTACTCCATCTAACATGCATTCATATTTTTTTTTCCGTAAAGAGAGACAGCATCTTGTTCTGTCACCCAAGCTGGAGTGCAGTGGTGGGATCATAGCTCACTGCACCTTCCAATTCCTGGGCTCAAACAGTCTTCCCACCTCAGTCTCCCAAGCAACCAGGACTACAGACACACCCCACCTTGCTGGCTAATTTATTTTTTTAAATTTTTTTTCGTAGAGATGAGGTCTCACTTTGTTGCCCGGGCTGGTCTTGAATTCCTGGCCTCAAGCATCCTCCTGCCTTGATCTCCCAAAGTGCTGGGATTACAGGCGTGAGCCACCATGCCCTGCCATATTCATCCTTTTGAATACTCTCAAAAAATTATTTCCCTTATTGTATAAGAAAAACGATTAAATAGTGCATCTACTTTTAAAGGATTATTGTTTATAAAAGTGTAACTTTTGAATGCTCATCTAGTAAAGCACCAAACACTAATATATGCAAAACCCTTAGCAGTACAGTTGTCACTGTTGGGACTTGTGGAGGGTGAGTCTGTGAGGGTTAGGCCTTTTATTGGCAGCATAAAGGCCTAGAGTGCCTCCAAAACACCCATTCTGTTACATTTGTTTAGAACATACGTAAGTGCAGATTCCAGAATTAAAAAGAGTCAGTTTATTAAGAGTAGATATTAAATATAATAATGAAGAAGCAAGATGTAGATTAATGAAAAAGCATTCTTATGTAGTAGAAGGCAGAACGTTAGGATTCACACATTTCTGGGTTTGTTACTGGAGTTCTTTTTATTGTGGGTCAGATGAATCTCTTAATCCCTCAGATACTCAAAGTTTCCTTTATACAATTAAATACTGCTGTTTGCCTAACACATTGTAAGGATTGATAATTAAAGCACCTAGCATCTAATTAGTGTTGTTAATTTCAGCACTATTGCTCAGCAACTGTATTCCCTGATGTTTCCTTCCAAAATGTCTATTAGAGAACTCAAGTTCAAACCATGTTGATGATTTTGAAGATAATCTGCTGATTGAATCAGATGTGATAGATATAACTAAATGTAGAGAAGAAACTCCACCAGGGAGCAGATGTAACCAGGCAACCACATTGGATAATCAGAATATTAAAAAGGCAATTGAGGTTCAAATACAGAAGCCCAAAGAGGAATGGTCTACAACATGTCAAAAACAGCAGGTCTTTTGTGATGAAGAATTGCTAAGTGAAACCGAGAATACGTCATCTGATTCTCTAACAAAGTTCAATAAAGGGAATGTGTTTTTATTGGATGCCACAAAAGAAGGAAATGTTGGCCGCTTCCTTAATGTGAGTATAAGAGCTGAGATTCCTATTTCTGAGCAACTGTTTTTTCTATGCTACTTAACAAAATTATGAGGAAAATATGAAAAACAGACTCTAAAGTCAGGCTGTCTGGTTAGAATTCCAGTCCTCCACTTGTATACGGATGGATGTTTTACTTGATCTCTGATACCTTACTTTCTACCTTTGTAAGATGGGGATAAATAATAACTGTCTCAGGATGTTGTGTGAATGAGTTAACATAAAGTGCTTAGAACATGCCTAGCACATAGTAAACATTTGCTTTTTAAAAACTATAAGAAATGGTATATAAGAAAAGTATTTAAATATATTAGAAGGGGCCAGGTGCAGTGGTTCACGCCTGTAATCCCATCACTTTGGGAGGCCGAGGCGGGTGGATCACAAGGTCAGGAGTTCAAGACCAGCCTGGCCAAGGTGGTGAAACCCCATCTCTATTAAAAATACAAAAAAATTAGCTGGGCGTGGTGGTGGGTACCTGTAATCCCAGCTACTCAGGAGGCTGAGGCAGGAGAATTGCTTGAACCTGAGAGGCAGAGGTTGCAGTGAGCTGAGATTGCACCATTGCACTCTAGCCTGGGAGACAGAGCAAGACTCCGTCTCAAAAAATATATATATATATTAATTAAAATTTTAAAAAATAATGTCAGAAGGTTTTCAAGCTCACTTACCTGAGTTGGGAAAAATGTGTGGATAGGAAATTATCAGTGAAATTAAATGGTGGCAGACATGTCCAAAGAATATTGTTGGGATTTGATGATATATTAATATAGAAAGATTACCACATACTGGGTTTTTTTTTCTTTTTCTTTTCTTTTTTTTTTTTTTTTTTTTTTTTTTTTTTTTTTGAGACAGAGTCTCACTTTGTCACCAGTGGTGCGATCGCGGCTCACTGCAACCTCCACTTCTGGGGTTCAAGCAGTTCTTGTGCCTCACCCTCCTGAGTAGCTGGGATTACAGGCATTAATCACATGATGAATGTGTAGAGTAGGCAACAGAGCAATACTGGAATAGTGGTAATATGAGGAAATGATAGCATCTGTTTAGAAGCTTTGGAATGAAGACACATTATGGCTGTGTTCAACAGAGAAATTAGTTGCTTACAATATCTCCTCTCCAAAAGGCTTGTTTGTTATAATGATGTAAAAATTAGGTTCTGTACATCTTCATATTAAACTTTCTTTGTGAAAACTTTTTGTTAAAAAAGAAAAAAAGCCATACTTTGAAAAGTACTGTGCTTCCATTTCCCATGCCCCCACTCTACCTTCTCTCTGTAAGTCATCATGTTTACTCTTTTTTCTTTTTTTTTAGACGGAGTCTCACTCCGTTGCCAGGCTGGAGTGCAGTGGCACGATCTTGGCTCACTGCAACCTCTGCCTCCTGGGCTCAAGTGATTGTCCTGCCTCAGCCTCCTGAGTAGCTGGGATTACAGGCATGCACCACCATGCCCAGCTAATTTTTGTATTTTTAGCAGAGACAGGGTTTCACTATGTTGGCCAAGATGGTCTTGATCCCTTGACCTCATGATCCACCCACCTCAGCCTCCCAAAGTGCTGGGATTACAGGCGTGAGCCACCACGCCTGGCCTGTATTTATACAGTGTTTTCTGTTTGCATCTGCTCACCTTAGCCTCCCAAAGTGCTGGGATTACAGGCGTGAGCCACCACGCCTGGCCTTTACTCTTTTGTGTGTGTGTATTCTTCTGGTGTTTCCTTCCTAAAATACAAGTAATATGAACATGTGTTCTTATATCTCCTCCTTTATTTTTTTGAGATGGAGTCTTGCTGTATCGCCCAGGCTGAAGTGCAGTGGTGAAATCTTGGATCACTGCAACCTCTGCCTCCAAGGTTTAAGCGATTCTGCTTCAGTCTCCCGAGTAGCTGGGATTACAGGCATGCACCACCATGCCTGGCTAATTTTTGTATTTTTAGTAGAGACGTGGTTTTCACCATGTCAGCCAGGCTGCTCTTAAACTCCTGACCTCAAGTGATCCACCAGCCTTGGCCTCCCAAAGTGCTGGGATTACAGGTGTGAGCCACTGTGCCTGGCCTCATTTCTCCCCCTTTTTTAAACATAAAACATAACATATTATATTCACTGTCCTATACTTTGTTTTTTAAATTAACAGTATATTGGGCCGGGCGTGGTGGCTCATGCCTGTAATCCCAGCACTTTGGGAAACTGAGGTGGAAGGATCACTTGAGGTCAGGAGTTTGACACCAGCCTGTCCAACATGACAAAACCCCATCACTACTAAAAATACAAAAACAAAAAAAATTAGCCAGGCATGGTGGCGCATGCCTGTAATCCCAGCTGCTTGGGAGGCTGAGGCACAAGAATCACTTGAACCTGGGAGGCAGGGGTTGCAGTGAGCCAAGACCATGCCACTGCACTCCAGCCTGGGCAACAAAGAGAGACTCCGTCTCAAAAAAAAAAGTGTATTGTGACAATATTTTCCATATTGCTACACAAATGTTGTGGAATAATTTCCATATTAATACACAGAGCTTCTCATTTTTTTTTGTATGCTTTTGTTTATAGATGCATAGAATTCTGTTGTCTACCAAAGTTTATTTAACCAATCCCCTTTAGGCAGATATTTTGAGTTATTTCCAAACCTTCAGCATTAAAAACACTGTTCAATGAATAATTTTACACATAGACACATATGCAGATGAATCTGTAGAATACATTTCTAGATAAGAGATTACAGAATCAAAACACAAATGCATTTATAATAATGACAAATATTGACAGATTTTATAGGGATTTGTCCCATTTTTGTGTTTCTACCAGCAACATATAAGAGTGTCAGAACAGGGCTTTTCTGAATGGGTTATCACTATTAACAGAAGCTATGATATTTTATACATTAGCAAAAAAAAGAACAAAATCGACATGATGGATTAAAAACAGAATGGTATTCTAATGCTAAAGCACAAGTTATCAGACTTTACGCTATTTCTAACCTTGGTATTTATTTTTTATTTAACAGCATAGTTGTTGCCCAAATCTCTTGGTACAGAATGTTTTTGTAGAAACACACGACAGGAATTTTCCATTGGTGGCATTCTTCACCAACAGGTTTGAAATTGATTTTGCTTACTTAATTCTGAAATCGTGACTTTACAAATAACAATAGAGAACCAGGCATGGTGGCTCATACCTGTAATCCCAGCACTTTGAGAAGTGAAGATGGGCAGATCGCTTGAGTTCAGGAGTACGAGACCAGCCTGGGGCAACATGGCAAAACCCTGTCTCTACCAAAAAAAAAAAAAAAAAAAGTTCACCAGGTGTGGTGGCCAGCTATTCAGGAAGCTGGGGTGGGAGGATCACTTGAGCCCAAGAGGTGGAGTTTGCACCCCGTCTCAAATAATGATAACAATAGAAAAATATAAAAAGATGACATATACTATAGCCTCAAATATCTTGTACTGTAGAATATTCAGTTATCCTAAACTGTTCCTAGTCAGTAAGATTTTGAACACCTGAAATTTCAATTCTTATTCTCACTTAGAATGAATGCCTGAACGGGCTGAGATGATATCAGGTATCACCCAGTTCCACTCGGGATAAATGACGAAGAGTGCTACGTAATCTTTAATTCAGAGCTATTCCCCAGCTGCTTCCACACTGCAGGCCTCAGCATATCACTTGGTCCTACTCTTGGCAAAATACACTTCCTTCCTCATATTGATTGGGGTTCCTTCTTGATTAACATTTTAGTAGATTAGAAATAGAACGCAAATGGTTATTCTTAATAAAAGGTCATTCCTAATTGGTGGGTGTCAGGTGAGAGAATAGATCATATTTTTGAGGATGGTTAATGTTACTAGGAAAATGGATATAATTAAGTTTGGTTGATTGGTAGTTCTTTAGGGTATTTTATGATTGTTTTTAAATTTCTACTTTCTAGGTATGTGAAAGCAAGGACAGAGCTAACATGGGATTATGGTTATGAAGCTGGGACTGTGCCTGAAAAGGAAATCTTCTGCCAATGTGGGGTTAATAAATGTAGAAAAAAAATATTATAAATATGTAGCTAATGCCTGTTTGTCAAATTAGCTTATCAGGCTGAAATTAAAGCCATGCAAAAGAAGGTAAAGGTCCATCGAGATAATTCCCCTTCGTTTCCTTTGTCATTGGGTTCATATTTTATTTCAGATTTTATTTGTGTGACTTAAAGAAATTCCAGGAACACAATTAGGACATTTTCATACACATAGGGTATCTCATTCACTGCTGTGCAGCTTTACATGAATAGGATGGAAGCATATATTTTATATGAAATACCACTCTCCAACTTATAATTTATTTAAAAATTATATATTAAGAGAAACAAATGTCATAACAAAACTCAACTGTTTCTAATTGCTTTTGTGACTGTTACCTTTTAGTTCATGCCCCAAAGAGCTAAATTTCACACTTTTACCTACGAAATTGATTTTTAATTCCTGGAAAATCATTTACCATTATGAGCTACAAGGTGGACAACAGTGCCTGAGGAACTCATTTTAAACATATTACTCCCAAGTATTTTAACACTTGTTGGAGAAGCGATACTTGGATCCATAAAACACTGTCCCATCAACCATTTGAGTGCGGAAAGGAAGAAGCTCTTCTCTAAGATTCTGGCAGACTCTTTGAGATGAATCTTCTTTTCCATGGATATTCTCTACTCTTTCAATACAAACATAGGAAAAGAGGGAATAGAAGCCTGGAAGAACTTGAATATTTTTGTTCTAGATAGATTAGATATAGTTATTGAAAAGGAAGCCTAGAAAGTAGTCAAACTTGGCTTATTTAGGCCAGAAGGAATTGAGGTGGGCAAGAATTTCACTTAAACACAAGAAGGCCAGGCATGGTGGCTCTCACCTATAATCACAACACTTTGACAGGCGGAGGCAGGTGGATTACTTGAGCCTAGGCGCTCGAGACCAGCTTGGGCAACATGGCAAAACCCTGACTCTACAAAACAGAAAAATTAGCCGGGCTTGATGGCATGTGCCTGTAGTCCCAGCTACTCAGGAGTGAGGTGGGAAGATCATTTGAGCTCGGGAGGTCAAGGCTGCAATGAGACGTGATTTCACCACAGCACTAACAGCCTGGGCAATAGAGCAAGACCCTGTCTCAAACAAAAAACACACACACACAAGAAAAGAAAGCAATTCTGAACTGTGAAATATGAAATAGCTCCTTAGTATCTCCTGAGCATGACTTGCAAATTGTTTTTTTAGAGAAAAAAGAGTAAGCACTTTACCATAGGTTACTTGGCCCTGATCATCTATCTAGTGGAAAGGGGGACTGGGAAGCCCAAGCAGACTGGGAAATCAGACAGCTAGGAAAAGTAGCAAAACAGCCCAGCAAGCTGCTGATGAGGAAAGTTGAGAAATCCATTTATTCACTGTAGAGATGCAGGAGTTTCAGACAGTGTACTAAAATGAAGTGAAAAAAAAAACTTGAATCAATATGGGAGATATTTTTGTGCAAAAGGAAATATTGTGGATCAGACAGTATTCCTTTGAGCTCTGCCTGTGGAGTCCATTTGACCTTTAGAAATATGAGGTATTCTGTCAGTTTTATCCTCTTGGAGAAATTTCTCCTGAAATGTTGATTTGCTTTAATCTGGACTGGTTCACAGCTATCATCTTTCATCCATAACTCAGAGATTCCCTTTGTCTCTTATGTTGGACCCATTTCCAGTTAGATCCCATTATTTTCCTTTTCCTTTGTTTACTCTTCCACATATTGGTAAAGCTCTTCTGATAGCTTTTGAAAAGGAAAAGTTAGAAGTAAATGTTTTGAATCTCTGTGTGTTTGAAAATGTCTTTATTTTACCCTTACACTTGATTGCTGTTTTGGTTGGCGAGGTATAGAATTATTGAATGGTCTCCATGCCCAGTTTTGAAGGCATCTGCTAGCTTTCAGTGTTACTGGTGTGGAGTGTGAAAATGTACTGTCTTCTGGCTTCCAGGGTGACTACTGGAAATTGAATGTCATTCTGTTCCTCCTCTTTTGCATATATAATCCATTTGTATCTCTCTTGAAGCTTATAGGTTTATCTTTGTCTCAGTGTTCTGCCCCTGTTAAGATTTTCATCCTTTGTACTAAGTGCCTGGTGGGATCATTCAGTCTGAAACTAATGATTTTCCATCTGTTCTCTCTTTCTGGAATTCCTGTTTCCCAGATGTTAGACCCCCAGAATTGATCCCTAATTTTCCTATGTTTTCTCTTAACTTACAGTTCTGTCTTCTTGCTGGGACCTTTACCTAGGACCATTTCTTAATTTAATCTTCCAGTTCATCGGTTGCATTTTATTTTTCTAGTTTCATATTTCTAAGAGCTCCCCATCTCTGAATACTCTTTTTTTAAATAGCATCCTATTTTAGTCATGTTTGCAGTATTTTATCTTTTAAGATATTTGTGTGTATGTGTATGCACACATCTCTCTATTCTTTCCGCATAATCTCTGTCTTCCAGAGTTTGTTTCTTTGTTTCCCCTGTATGTCTGTTTTGGTCTTGATCTTCCACATTATAGGCTTTCCTCAGAGTTAATGGTCTTGGTAGTCTACTCCTATTTAAATGTGGAACATCAAAAAGCTTATTGTAAGCTGAGAGTATGGTAAAGGGCTCTTTGTCTTACTGTGACCTACCTGAGCTACTTTGCTGGGGAACACCCTAATGTCAGTCTCTTTAGGGCTTTTCTTTTTGACTTGGCAAGAAATACTCTTCCATCCTCCTGCATGGAGGGCAAAAAAAAATTGGCTGCTAGGGTCTACTCACTTCCTTTTTTTGCAGACCCCACACTCTTGCTTCTGCAATTAATTTCATAGTTGTCAAATTGTCCTTTTTAATATTTCTCTTCTGCTGTCCCAGTTTGCAATCTTCCTCTTTACAACCTGCTGAAAGTGTAAGATCTCCAGTTTTCTTTTAATTCCTCAGCAAACCACCAACTGTTGCGTCTTTTTTCCAGAACAACTTATTTTGTAACTATGATTATACGCATTTCTGTTCTTTACCTGTATATTTGTTAGATGCACTAAAAACCTCGACTTGTATGGTGCTCTGTACCCTATGGGTGCTAAATAAAGGCTTGCTACTGGCAACTGGATTTAGGATCAGTTAATTCTGTGTCATTTTAAGATATGGTTATTTAGATCAAACTCAGGAGAAAATTTTTAGGAGAAACCCTCAGGAAAGTGATTGTTTCTCCCGCTGAGCCGTGGGGGTGGGGTAGGAAAACCACGTGTTTGGGTTTTTTAAGCTATTCAAATTAAGATGTAGATCTGAATGAGTGAGTGAGAACCCCTATCTGCACACACAACTTTCCCCGGGCTGTCTCGTGACTGGAAGGAACGGCCCAGATTCAAGAAAACGAAACCTGGTGCATTGGGGCACTTCCGGGATCTCGCGATCCGGCCGCCACCAGCAGCTGCAGCACAGCCATGGACCAAGCGTCGCCACCTCTGCCCGAGTCAATGCACAGCACTGGCAGCCCGGAGGCCCAGCTGGAGCAGGAGGCTCTCCTCTTTCCCACCGGTGAGTACCGTGGGTGCGGGTGGGCAGGGCTGGGTAGCGACGGATCCGGTCAAGGGGCCTGCCTTTCGGTCGTGGCCGCTTGAGGGCCCCGACCTGCTACTACTCCAGGCCCGGGCCCCAGACGCCGAAGCCGCACTGGACGAACTTGGCTCAGAATTCACGGGCCGGTGGCGCCCAGAGGATGGGGCGCGGCCTCGGCCAGTTCCGCAGGTGGCTCTGACTGCCCATGGTTTCTCGTAAGAGGCGTGCATGCTTCGGTTTACCTCTCCCGGTGATAGCCCAGTGCTTCCCGCACCACCGATGTCAACCCTCCTAGCGCCCCTCTACCCAAAGGTAAACCAGAACAGTGGGAGGGGCGCCTTGCTGCGGGGAGGTAGGGGCGTCCCTGAGGGAGGAGCTGAGTCTCACATTCACGGGGGACGTGACTGGAACCCGTCTCCTCCTCTCCAGTCGTTCCAGTCCTCCCCGTTCCTCTATGTGAGTGGGTGGGTCTTCTGATGGGTTCCTGCCCTTGAGTTATGTGTACAGCTCCTAACGGTGTGCCAGGTTCAGGGTAAGGTCCTGGGCATACAAACATGAGTTAGGCAGGCCCTGCGCTAGAGACTCTACTAGGCAACTTTAATATGAGGAAATCAGAACCACAGAGGAACTGATGAGAGGCTCCTGACTCCCGGTGTTCAGGCAAAGCTTTTTGAGGAGAGGATGCCTGGGCTTACTTTTAAAGGGCTAGATTCAGCCAAAGGTGGAAAAGTTGAAGGGGTGTTCCCAGCAGAGAGGATGACACAAAGGCGTCAAACCCCAAAACATCATACGTGGCAACCACAAGCCAATCAGATGGATATTTCATTTGCTGGTGTACATATGGGCTGTAAGATGAGTCAGGAGGGTTGCGGTTCCATCCTGACCTTTTGCCCAAACTCCAGACTGGTATGACCAGCTTCTTCCATGTCTGAAATGATCTCAATCTACGTATGTCCTAAAATGAATTCTTGTTTCCCCCACTGTACTCAGGTACTCCAAACCTGCTCAACAACCAGCGCATTCCATTCACCCAGTTGCTCCTTCCAAAAACCTTAGTGGCATACTCAGGGCCTCTCTTAACTCTACACTTTTTCTAATGCATCAGTCAGGCCAGCCAGTTCTGTCTTTAGCCTGACTGTATCTTGAGCCTGCTTCTCACCACTTCCATTACCGCCACCCAAGCCTATGCCATCATGATCTTCTGCCTGGACTATTGCTTTCCTGGCTTCTATTCTAGCCGTTCATATAGGCAGGCCTGCCTAGCAGCCAAAATGCTTTTTGAAAAACAAAAAGCAAATGTGATTCTCCTACTCAAAACCCACCAGTAGTCTCCCATGACTCTCAGAACAATCTGTGAGCCTGGCCTACAGTTAACTCCATGTCCTTATCTGATTCGACTCCTGCCCATCTTAACGATTGTGCTACCTTGCTACCTTGTAGGTCCTCTAAGCCACCAAAGCTGTCCCTGCCTCAGGATCTTTCTATTTGCTATTCTCTTCAAGGAAAACTCTATCCTGTTTTCAGCTCCCCATCACATTCAGGTGTCTGCTCATGTACATCTTCCCTCAACCTTGCCTGCCCATTCTGTCTAAAAGAGCACCCCTCGCCCCTGCTCCTGTCACTCTCTACTTCCTTCTGCTCTATTTTTCTGTATAGCACTTATCACTATCTGGAAAACAAAACAAAACAAAATTTTTTAAATGCCTGTCTCTATCACTCACCACTGGCATGTAAATTCATCTTATTCTCTTCTATCCCAAGTGCCTAAAATAGTTGGCCTAGTTGTAGTAGTAGGACATAGCAGGTACTCATTAAATATTACATAATAGTAGGTCCTTATGAAATATTTGTTGAAGGAATGAATGTGCTTGTATGTAACACTACAGAGCTTGACTTCTGTAGGTGATAGGGAATTGTGGGCAGATGTACATTTCAGGTAGATCATTCTGACAGTAACATAGTACATTTCAGGTAAATTATTTTGACGGTAATGTAGTATGTTTCAGGTTGGTTATTCTGATATTAACATAGTACATTTCCTATAGATCATTCTGACAGTAACAGTACATTTCCTGTAGAACATTCTGACGGTAATGTAGTACTTTTCAGGTGGATCATTCTGATAGTAACGTAGTACATTTCAGATAGATCATCCTTCCACATCGCTGCCAGCAGTGT